CTTCTACATTCTGTTTGGGAACAGAATGGGTGCTGCCCAGCTGAACTTAATGATTGACAACACTCCTGTTACTAGACATAATGAGGGCAAATTCCTGAGCCTGCACCTTGACAACAACCTGAAATTCAACACCCATTCCAATAAATAACAAAAAAGTATCCAAAAACAGTTGGGATCCTTTCCAAGATACTACATTATTATGTGCCACAGTCAGCCCTGCTCACACTATACTATTCACTCTTCTATCCCTACTTCACCTATGCTGTTTGTGCATGGGGATCAACAGCAGCAATTCACCTAAAGCTGATAATGATAATAATAATAATAATATTAAGTTTATTTCTTTGTAAAGGTTACAATGTGCAATTAATAATTTTGATTTGCTAGGTACAAAGATAGCCACTATCATCCCGAGGCATTTCGGGCAAACTAATCCTAATACATAGTAACTAATTAAAATAGTACATAGTAATAGTACATAGTAATTATTACTTAGACTAAACATAGAATATTGGTTAGCTGTTTTACAATCTGTTTGGACTTAATAAATCTTATGTATATTTAGTACAAAATCTAATTTACAAGGAATGGTGCAGGTGGTAATATTTTATGGAATGGCAGAATTAAAAGCCAGGAGGTCACATGATAAAACTACCAGTAGATGTTTGGTTGATTTGGTTAATATTGTGAGATAAGATGATTTTTTAGCAGAGTCCTAAATTTATAAGTTGTCTGGGGATCCTTGACTTGTTCCGGTACCAAGTTCCAGATCTTTGGGCCTTTTATGTGCATAGTGTTCTTGCATAGTGGAGAGTTTTTACTCGAGGGATGTTGAAAAGAGCCTTATGCCTTGTATTGTGACTGTGCATTCTGTTGTAACTGTCGAGTAGTTGTTTTAGGGGAGGGTTTACAGTGGAGTTTAAAGTTCTGTATATATAGTAGGCATAATAATAAAAGTATATGTCTTGTATATTTAGCAAGTTGAGTCTTTTGAAAAGTGGTGGGGTATGCTGTCTGGCACAGGAGCTGGTTATCACCCACACAGCAGCTTTTTGTTGGATTATTAAGGGTCTAAGGTGGTTGGCTGTGGTAGAGCCCCAGGCACAGATACCATAGGTGAGGTAAGGATATATTAGAGAGTGGTACAAGGTAAGGAGAGTCGTTTGTGGTACATAATAGCGTATCTTGGAAAGGATTCCTACTAATTTGGAAATTTTCTTGGCTATGTGATGGATATGGGACTGAAATTTAAGGTTACAGTCAAGGAGAAGACCTAGAAATTTGCCTTCTATGTGTCTTGATATAGGGGAACCATTTAACAGTATGTTGAGTTGAATATTTGAGGCTCTGTTGCCAAACAGCATGAAGTAAGTTTTTTCTATGTTATGTGTGGGTTTGTTGGTCATCATCCAAGCATATATCTTTAGCAGTTCATTGTTTAAAGTGTTTTCAAGCACAGCTGGGTCTGAATGGGAGTAGACATATGTAGTGTCATCTACAAATAGAACTGGTGTAAGGAGTTGGGATGCATTGGGGAGATCATTGATGTAGACGAGAAAGAGGAGTGGGCCTAGGACACTACCTTGGGGTACTCCTACAGGTACAAGTTGGATAGCGGAGTTGACTCCATTTGCATGTACATACCGGTGTCTGTCATTAAGATAGGATTTTAGGTAGTCAAGAGAATGTCCTCTTATGCCATAATGATTCAGTTTGTGGTGCAAGAGATTGTGGTCAACTGTGTCAAACGCTTTTCTTAGGTCGACAAAGAGCCCCAGGGGATATTCATTCTTATCGAGAGCTGTGTATATTAGGTCAAGCATTTGTATAATAGCATCATTCTTGCTTTTTTTTAGATCTAAATCCAAACTGGCATGGGTTAAGTATGTTGTTGGATGTAAAGTCACTTGTGTATTATTTTTTCAAATATCTTGGATAGTAAGGGCAAGTTTGATATGGGTCTGTAATTGTTCAAATCAGTTGGATCTCCACCTTTGTGGATCGGGGTGACCCTTGCTGTCTTGTGTATGGATGGTAAAGTTGAGGAAGCTATAGATTTGTTAAACATTGTTGCACTCTTAAACAGTCATGATAATGTGCAAATTGTAGGTGACCTTGAACCCACACATATCTATGGAGGTGTCCTTGATCTGTGCCTGGGCTTCAACATTACTTCTGCCAGCTGTGAGTCTTCCATTGTAACAGATATAGCATCTGATCATTTCCCAAGGCTAACCTCTCTAGATATTGGTAATACTATTCTCCCTGGTGGGATACTCAAACAGAAATGTCTTAATGTTTCCCCTGATCAACATGATGACTTTGTTGCACATGTGACTGACTGGTATAATTCCTATGAGTGTACCTCTGTCGAGACTTTTAACAATGACCTTGTGAGCAGTATTCAGAACTTCTTAGAGCCGCCTCTGAAACCTCCTACTACTCTAAATCCAAATGACTTCCATAATAATCATAAGTCTTATAAAAATCATACCTATTACAATGATTCTAAAAATTCGAACATTGAAACGTACTGCTCGCAGACTAGGCCTAGCCTATAGAAACCATCGTACCCTGAAATGCTGAGCCTCTTCCAAACTGCCCTTGCTGCTGCCAGAGAGCGTATGACAAGCTGCGGCAAACAGACTGGGAACAATTTGTCAATGGTCTCAATGCCCACCCCACTTTGCCAGGCATGGGACATAAAAAATTTAAAA